AGTTCTGGCATTTGAAAAGAGAGTTCTGGCATTTGAAAGGGAGTTCTGGCATTTGAAAAGGGAGTTCTGGCATTTGAAAGGGAGTTCTGGCATTTGAAAAGGGAGTTCTGGCATTTGAAAAGGGAGTTCTGGCATTTGAAAAGGGAGTTCTGGCATTTGAAAAGGGAGGTCTGGCATTTGAAAAGGGAGGTCTGGCATTTGAAAAGGGAGTTCTGGCATTTGAAAATGGAGTTCTGGCATTTGAAAACCAAGTTCTGGCATTTGAAAACCAAGTTCTGGCATTTGAAAAGAGAGTTCTGGCATTTGAAAGGGAGTTCTGGCATTTGAAAAGGGAGTTCTGGCATTTGAAAGGGAGTTCTGGCATTTGAAAAGGGAGTTCTGGCATTTGAAAAGGGAGTTCTGGCATTTGAAAACGGAGTTCTGGCATTTGGAAACGGAGTTCTGGCATTTGAAAACCAAGTTCTGGCATTTGAAAAGGGAGTTCTGGCATTTGAAAAGGAAGTTCTGGCATTTGAAAAGGGAGTTCTGACATTTGAAAAGGGAGTTCTGCCATTTGAAAATGGAGTTCTGCCATTTGAAAAGGGAGTTCTGGCATTTGAAAAGGGAGTTCTGGCGTTTGAAAAGGGAGTTCTGGCATTTGAAAAGGGAGTTCTGGCATTTGAAAAGGGAGCTCTGGCATTTGAAAAGGGAGTTCTGGCATTTGAAAAGGGAGGTCTGGCATTTGAAAAGGGAGTTCTGGCATTTGAAAATGGAGTTCTGGCATTTGAAAACCAAGTTCTGGCATTTGAAAAAGGAGTTCTGGCATTTGGAAAGGGAGTTCTGGCATTTGAAAGGGAGTTCTGGCATTTGAAAAGGGAGTTCTGGCATTTGAAAAGGGAGGTCTGGCATTTGAAAAGGGAGTTCTGGCATTTGAAAATGGAGTTCTGGCATTTGAAAACCAAGTTCTGGCATTTGAAAAAGGAGTTCTGGCATTTGAAAAGGGAGTTCTGGCATTTGAAAGGGAGTTCTGGCATTTGAAAAGGGAGTTCTGGCGTTTGAAAAGGGACTTCTGGCATTTGAAAAGGGACTTCTGGCATTTGAAAAGGGACTTCTGGCATTTGAAAAGGGACTTCTGGCATTTGAAAAGGGAGTTCTGGCATTTGAAAATGGAGTTCTGGCATTTGAAAACCAAGTTCTGGCATTTGAAAAAGGAGTTCTGGCATTTGAAAAGGGAGTTCTGGCATTTGAAAGGGAGTTCTGGC